GTACTGAATGGAGCACTGGGTGTTCTACACAAACAATGAATCATGGAACACTACATCAAAAACTAATGTACTGTATGGTGACTAACATAATAAAATTAAATTAAAAAAATAAAAATAAAAGCTGGGAAAGAGTATTAAAGCTAATTTGCTGGGATCAGAACCTACACTTCCTCCTTTGTTTTAGTAAATACATCAGTGTGTTTTGTGACCTTTTTTATCAGTTTTGTGATTTCGCTCTTCCTTTTTTCCTTGTAGTCCTTTATACCAGGGCTGAGGAGGGCAAACCACACTAACATACTGCTTAGGAACGCTTTTCCCTTTTCCAGCTCCAAATAACGCAATGAAAGGACAGAAAACCGCGTCATGAGTCGAACCCAGGAAAAAAAAAGGTGAGGTGGGTTAAAAAGTTATTTCGCCCTCGGCCTCAAGGGGGAGAAACCAAGTCTCCGCGGAGGTGCGAAGAGCGGGGACCGGGACGTGGCAGGACCGACAGGGAGCGCGTCCAGCCACAGCGGGGGGTGGGGGGGTGTCAGTCGTGGGCAGTGCTGGAAACCAGGAGCTGGAGGCCGGTGGAGGGAGGGCTTCAGGAACACCAAACGTTTTTAAGGGGTGGGTTGGGGAGCGGAACTCAAGGGCAGGGGGACTTTTGGGCGCTGGAGAAGGACAGGCGCAGACCAGGCGCCACAAAGGCGAGCGGAACTGCTGTGGTACTGGCAGAGAGGGAGGGGACACCATTCCCTTCACCTGTCAATCGCTGCGGTCCCGGGCTCTGCGGGACTCCTCGGTTACACGGCAGACGGAAATGACGCGACTCCACTTCCGTTCTGACCCGCCTCGAGCCCCGCCCCTAGCACCGCCTCCCTTAGCACCGCCCCCTAGGCCCCGCCCTTTCCTCCACCCACACTTCACTGTCTCCAGGGGATCCCAAACGGAAAAAAATGTTATAGCTGAACCTGTGAGCTCACACTGCGATTATTAATGGCTTTGAGGCAAAGGATTTCGAAAGGGAAACCAAAGTGAACTTCTGCGAATTGGGGCTAAACTTATTACAAAGTCTGGTCACTTCCACCAATGACTTTAAAGATGTGGGAGAAATACACAAAATCTTTCATATTTAAGTAATTTATTCATTTGTAAATAAAAAACGGATCCTTTTAGTGATTTGGCAGCTAATACTCAGGATGAAAGAATGAGTGACAGGTGATTGTAGTCCAATGCTATTTCTAAATTTAAGCTCTTTAGCTGGTAAAGCCTAAACCAGTTTTATTTTACTTTTTTAAATTGAGGTATAATTGACATGTACCATACATTAGTTTCAGGTGTACAACATGATTTGGTACTTGTTTATATTGCTAAATGATCACTACAATAAGTGTAGTTAACCTCTGTCACCATAGGTAGTTACAGCAAAACCAGTATAATGGTGACCTGAACCAGCTAAGACACTGTACTTCGTGTATTTTCACCTGAAATAAGAGAAAATAATGGTGTCAAGCCCAATTTTCTTTCCTCATAATATTAGATTTCTACCTACTAGGGATTGAGTGGTAGTGATAGAAGTTTTGGTTCATTTATTCATGAAGACACAATAAAATTAAAATTAGACCAACACAGTTACAGAAATACCAGGGCTATAGGTGGTTACAATCTTTCTTATTTTTCTTTAAAGATTATTTATTTGAGAGAGAGAAAGAGAGGGAGAGAGCACCTGTGAAAGCAGGGGGAGGGGCAGAAGGAGAGAGAAAATCTCAAGCAGACTCCCCACTGAGACTGGAGCCCACATGGGGCTCAATCTCAGGACCCTGAGATCATGACCTGAGCCGAAACCAAGAGTCGCCGCTCAATCCACTGCGCCACCCAGGTCCCCTGGTGGTTACAGTCTTTCTTAAAAACAGAAATGATCTTTTTCAAAATTTTATTTAGAAAATTTACTTTATGTAAAAAGTGTATATAATATGTCCCATGATATAAAATTCTAGACAGTAGATTTAAAAACAGCATAATGGAAAATATAAATATCCATTTTCTTATGTATATCTTTTGTGCACTTACAGTCTTTTCCTAGGTTTACATTTTTCTTTATTTTACAATCTGATTTTCTTACTTGTAGCAAAAACAAATATCATAGACAGGTATATAGCAAAAAGTAAAAATTCCCTTCTCTCCATCTCTTCCTCAGATAGTGGTAAAATCCTTCCAAACTTTCAACCATTCAAATATATTTTTGTTTATTACATTCATGGTTTCACATTATACATGTTGTTCTGTAACTTAGTTTTTTCACTGAATACTGTAATGGAAATCTTTCATGATAGTACATTTAGAGCTACTTTTTAAAAATAGTTGTATTACATTACTTTATATATCAATAACTATTTAGCCAGTTCCCTCATGAAAGCTAATCAAGGTGCTTCCAACATTTTACTAATAAAAATAATACAGCAACAAACATGCTGGCAGCTTATTTAGATAAATGCACTTATTGTATTTACCTGCATACCCCTCTCTTCCTTTTAAAAATCAATTTTTTTAAGTTGAAGTATTAAAAACAACTAATGGAATATGTAGATATTGTGTGAATTCGAAGGGAAAAAATCAGGGTTTTAGTAAAACGATTTTATTAAGTTATATTCGTGTCAACAAACCAGAAAGCCACGTAAAAATAACTTTTTAAAGACTATGACTGAGCTGGGCGGATGGAAAATTATCTAGATTGACTGCTGACTCCCTATGAAATTTTTTGAGGGTTCCACTTACTTTCTTAAACACATCCTTTCCTGTTCCAAGCTCAGAAGCTGTGTGGTGTATCTCAGTTCACTTTTAACTATCAGGCTTGTTTGGCAGCAGATGATAGACATTTTAAAAATTTAAGATATTTCTCACAAGATGCCATCAGCCACAAGGAAGGACCTGGGGTTGGTGGGCAGGCTGGTGTGAAGGAAGGCAAATTTTCTTTCAATAATCTCAGCTTTGACAAGCCCCAAACTCCATGTACAATATATGCAGGACATGGATTCATTAGCGTATGGTCCTAGTACAGCTGCCCTTTATTTTATACTCGTGACCTTGTACTTTTGTGGGTGTACAATTGGTGGGTGTTCTCCTTGGGTACTTGGTTTTGATGACACTGTTCTCCCAAATGTGGTTTTGCTCTTGTCTAGTTACACAATTCTGTGTTCTTCTTGAACCTTCATAAAAGGATATGACTACTTTAAAGTGGTTACATTGTTTCTCAGATTAAGTAAATATTTCAATTAGGGGAGTAAATATTTTTATACTGGGAGTGTAGCTAGCTCTTGCTTTGGGAGTGTGTTCTTTAGTGGAGTGAATCTTGGATTGGTGGTTTTACAAGGAGTGTGTAATGAATTTCTGGGCTATAAGTCTTAAGTTTTGACCCTGTCCAAAAAGGCAAAGGAAATTTCCAAAGTTTTTCTTGTAGCAATTCACTGAAACAGAGGAGGGGTGCACTCAGGATGCTTGCCTTTCTTATCAGCTTATTGGTGAATTCTCAAGGTACCAGGCTTACTGCTGTTTCCGGCAGATGTTTTCAAGTGTCCCTTTTAAAGATTCAAAAAAAGTAGTAGTGATCCCCACCTGAGTGTAGTTATCTTCCATCTATTCAATACATAGATAATGAGTGGTACCCACAGAAAGTTCTCATCTACTAATAATTGTGTTGTCCTTGATGGGTGTACCACCCAGATAGATTGGGAATTACTAGCTTATGGCATAATTTCTCCTTAATTTTGTCTCAGGCCTTGATAAAACTTAGCTAAAAAGATATGAGTGAGCTTTAAAAAACGTGGCCTCCACAGTCTCCAAGCTACCTTTAACAAGGGAGCCATCCTTTTCTTCCTTAATTATTCTTATCAGACCTTCCAAAAGGAGGCTTGCTATTACTCAAGGTCCAAAGCAGCTTGTAGGAGGCGAAATTACACAATAAGAGGGGAAGAACCCTGCACAAACATTTTTTCTTCATAATTGGGAGAGGGAAAGTGAACAAGGGATAGAAACAAACTAAGAAATATGGTGTAAATAATTTCATAGTGATTTCTTTTTTTTTTTCATAGTGATTTCTATTTTGGCAAGCCTCTCTGTCTATGACCCGCAAGTTTTCTGTTTAGAGCAACTGTGATATTGATGATAGCCATTTTTACACAAAAGAAAATAATATTCAAAGAGGCCTGTAATACTTGCTCTCATCTTGCTCTGCCAGTCCACGTGAGTCTCCTCGACTGCGCTGCCCACAGCGTGGCCTCTGTCTGAAGGCTTGCATTCCATGTTTCACTGGCATTCACTGGAGTGTCCGTGTGAGCTGACTTAAAGCTCTTCTCTGAAAGGTCCTTCCCGGTGACACTGGCACAGGGACGTGTTATCATCTGGCTGAGGAACAAGTTCCATCCTATCACGTATTTCGGGTCTGCTGGACTGGCGCTCAGCGTATTTCTGAAATGCGTGTTTGAAGGCAACTGAAAGATTAGTCCATGCTTCATTCCACTGGACCCTCCCTACCCCACTCAGGCCAGTGTTTCTAGCTGCTGTGTATCTTGAGACTAAAAACCAAAGGTGTGGTTTATTCCGGTCCTGAAGTTGCATTTTAACTTCAGGTTTTATAGGCACTAAGTGCAATATTTCAGAATTTAACAAGGAACCCCAATCCACAATTGCATGTGTACCTAGGAAGCCTCCACAAAAGGCATGTCAAGCCAAGGGTCCCTACTTGAAATAGTGGCACCTCTTGGCATTTATCCTCCACTTATTAATGAATAATTACATTTGTTGAACACTCAAATCAACCAACAGAGATGATAAGCATCTCAAAATAAAGCTGGCAGTCCCACACACCCTTCCCTTTAGGCTCATAGTCACATACGTTTTGTAAATGGTGACAGACCTGTGTAATGTCCCTCTACTTTAGCCACTGACTGAAATATTCCTATAAATTAGATTTTGATTCAGTGGTTCTATATACATTTAGCTGTAGATTCCTGGTGTTGGGCCAAACCCAACAAAATACTGACATGAGCACAGGAACCTAATGAGTATTTTAGAGGGAGAAACTCCTACTATTATTATAGGTAGACTAACAGAGGGTGTACAATTCATTCAAGGGAAAGGCTGACTTTAGTAAATGGTGAAATTTATCATTTTTATTTTTCTATGAGAGGGTAATATCCACAGGCATCTGAAGAAATGTGCTTTTTTTACTGTCCACAGAAAAATAAGTTTAGGTTAAAAACAAAAAAGCATTATTTCTTTTTTTCTTTTCTTCCTGTCTAGAATTTACTATGAAACACAAGATAGTTACCCAAAGAACCAATTCTTAGATTCTCAATAAACATTTGCACTTCAGTAATTAGGCCTGAAGTGTTAAAACCATTATAAATATATTTCACTTGTTTGTTTCCTACAGCAAGCTAAATATCTGCTGTCCATCCTACACTGTGATAGCAAAAGCATGAATCTTAAGTAGTAAGAGCAAAGAGGCAGACCTTTTGAGCAGAGAGATGTTAATGATCTCTAGTCCAACCCCCTTATTTGGTCTCTGAGGTTCAGAAAATACCTAAATTAGGAATTCCATAAGGAATTTAATAAAAAGACTGGGGAGGTAGGAAGAGCTTTTAATTTGTATTCGCAAGGGTTCTATGCATTGTTTTTCATAATAGTGAGTGGAGATACAAATATGGAGACCACAAAAGGTCTCAGCACTATTCCCATCTCTCCATGGGCTGGGCCAGTGCTCAGCTTCCGGAGAGTTCCACTGGCTGACGCTCTGAGTCCTTTCAGGAAGTGAGGCACTCAGGCCCTGCATGGTATGTGAGGATGCCTGAGCAGGGCGGGAGGGGGTGTAGGGAGGAGATGGCTGGTAGGAACTAACCTGGAGCACTCTGTAATAATAGCAGTAAACCCGGTGCGGCTGCAGCAGCTCCCTAGCAGCCAATTGCCCTTCTTTTGCAATCTTCTTGGCTTCTTCATCATTTTCCTGAAAGGGTTAAACACACACACACACACACACACACTGAATGAAGAGTACTCCTGTGATCCCCCCAAAGAAGGCTACTGGTGAGTATGAAGCAGGACAGAGATGGGGTTGAATGTGACCAGCATGGGATGTGGGGCATGAGGAAGAGAATTCGGAGTGAAGCTCTGAGAAATCGCCAAGGCACCTTCCTAGAGGCCTGTGTTACACAGAAGTGGTCACACATGTTTGGACCCTGGTCCACAGGCCCGAAGTGCCCTCCCCGCCATACACACATCAGACATGCAGTCTCTCTTGTGACTACCCCTAGTACTGTCCCGGCGACCCGAGAAATTTAGGGCTCATCCTCTGTCCCCCCAACCTATAGCCTCTCTGCTTGATATTAAAATACAATCTGGAGTAGAATGAATCCTTTTTCATGTTATAACGTCTCTTAAAAACTCCATTTTAATATGCAGTCAGAGCCCAAAAGTTGTCATAAAATGGTATCTATGAAGGCTTATCTTATTGCTGTAATCATAAATTCAGCCATTAGCACCCACAGGCTGTTCCTTCAGTACCAGGAACGGTCACTGTTACTAATTATACTTTGGAAAATAGCTAATACTCTACTGTGCTGCCCTTTAGAAAAGCCACTGACAAGCAATCCTGACTCTTTATAAAGGGTCACAGAAATGATTCTGCCTCAGGCACCCAGTCATTTGCATAACTGAATATTGCTTTTCAGAAACTTAGAAATAGAATGAAGTCTTACCCACGGAAGGGTAAATTTTTATAGTTTCATAATAAAACACAACAGCTTTGTAATATGTTTCCTTTTAAAAAAAAGAATTCTTATTTTATGGGAAACTTGTGATTCTTGGGATGTTGTATATAGCATGCATTCATTGTGCCTTTTTCCTAACTGGAGAAAAGAAAAGGGTATCATAATTGCCTCCAATGTCTTCTTGTGCATAGAGCACTCTAGCCCTGAGATTTTCAATCTGTCATTTGCATGTAGTGTGTTTTTGCTTGTGTGTATATGCATGAATAGTGATTCCTTCAGAAAAACCTATATTCTACATAACGCTTGTCTTTAAATCTTCTAAATCTTCTAAAAATCCTCCAAAATGTTGATAAAGGGTATTAAAATGATCCTGATGTTGATTCTTTAGATATTTCAAGGGAACAAAAATTTCAGGAAATAACATTTCTTTTGACTAAATTATATCCAGTTAAATTGGGTCATGATGGAATTCATGTAAATAATCTTGGTAAGTTTGTTATTGCCTCAAGAAATTAAAATTGCAGAAAACTTACCTTGGCCCACTTAATTTTCTCTAGTAAATCACTAAGATTTCTTTTAATTGGAACATAATGTTTCCAAGGCTTTAGTGCCATATAGAAATGTTCATAATATGTTGAGTCCTGCTTCAAAACCAAACTGTCGCCCAGCATGAGGTACGGATATCTATAAGCCGCCACAGTCCCATCCACATTCACTTGATACTTGTACTGAAAGAGTAAAACAAACATAAACAAAGGAAACACTTAACAGCCATTTGCTTCGCTTCTGCTTGTTATCAACACTGTCATACTACATATAAAGGAATTATTTTCCACGTTCCGACTTCAGTGTTTAAAAGTTTTATACGTTATTTTGTACCTCACATTTTCTCTTTGTATTGAAATCATAAACAGCCTTGAGCAGGCTGATTTTAAGAAATACAATGCATTTAAGGATAAGACAAATAATTTTAGGAAATAGGAATACCTATTTCAACTCTATGTAATGGATTCAGGTTTCTGTGACCTGGTAGGAAAATGTTTCAAAAGCTGTAGGTTTATTAAAGCTGACTCCTGGTAACAATTTACACTTTCATGTATACATTATTTCATTGGTTCCTTCTTCCCAGGTAAGTATGAAAAAGGAAAGCCTTATCTCCAGTGTTCAGTTCTAGAGTCGAGGAGACAGAAACCTGGAGAAGTTTAGGGACTAGTGTGATGCTAGCCACACAAGATGTACCCCGTTTACCCATTTGCTGGATTAATAAGCCTCGCTTTACATTTCAAAATCACTTTTCATGGGAATTAAACCTCACTTGATCATAGTAATGTGAAGCAAGTATTATCATAAGCTCTTTTTTTTCTTTTTGCAAATGAGAAAATCAGTGTTCAGATAAATTTATAAACCTCTATTCTCTGAGCTCAAATCCAGTGTTCCTTTCATTATAACACACTGAAAAGAACAGGATATACTCACGGATTTAGTCATTAATATTTTCTTGAATAATCGGTACCAAAGAGTTTTCTAGCCAGTCAGATTTTGTCACATTGTTCACATCCCTATCATCACGACACAAGTTTATCACTTCATATCCATACAAGAAGACAAAAATGCATACCTTAAAGAAATCAAAGAAACCTATCAATTTAGCTTTTCCAAGCTCCTTTTCTTTCTCTTGGAAAAAGAAATATCCTGTAATTCCTGCATCTAGAAGCTCTGGATTTTCCTTGGACAGCTGTACCAACTGGAGCCTCTCTTCTCGGCTATCTCTACCTCTGAAGAAAGCTTTCTCTGTTTTATTGATCCAGGAAGGCCCTAGAAGTTTGAAGCCATAAAAAAATATGATTATGAACTTGACATTTATAAAAACCGTTAGCATACTCATCTGTAATCTACCATTATCATTTAAGATATGAAAGCTCTTTGATCATCAACTCATCTTCTAAAAAAAGGTGCTATCTCCAAAAAATATGGGATCCAGTACCTTGCCTGAGATACTTTTCAGTTCAGACTTTTAAAAACAGTCCTTTTATTTGCTGTATCACATAAAAGAATGCTCCAATTTCACCTTTTTTTTTTTTAGATTTTATTTATTTATTTGACACACACAGAGAGAGAGAGAGCACAAGCAGGGGGAGTGGCAGACAGAGGGAGAAGCAGGCTCCCTGCTGAGCAAGGAGCCCGATGGAGAACTCGATCCCAGGACCCTGGGATCATGACTTGAACTGAAGGCAGACACTTAACCAACTAAGCCACCCAGGCGTCCCTAATTTCACCTGTTTCTCTACCTGCGAGAGCTCACTTATTGGATTGTCTGTTGTATGACCTTAGGAGATATCCAAAATAACACTGGATCAAGGTCAAAGCAAAAGACATTCAATGACTTGGCCCACTCACAAGCTTCTTCCATCCTTTGTGCTTCACAAGAAAAAAAATGAGTTGGGCTTTTGTTCTTAGATTGGGTGACCAGAACAAACTATGTAACTAAGTAACATCCACATCTTTAATCCCTAGGTTGTTCAGAATTTTGAGCACATCACTTTTGAATACAGGGAAGACTTTGTCTAATAAGCTGTGAAATGAAAACATGTATATATAGCCCAACTGTGTGTGTGTGTGTGTATATATCTTTCTAGATAGTATTCTAGAAGAATTTGTCTATTTCTATTATTCTAAAGAGAGGTCATTAGTTAACACCTGTTACTATTTGAAGGGATAAATCATAAAACAGAAACCGGAGGGGGTCACTCTCTCTAGTATTTTAGCACACATCCCAGGAATTCACTGTTACCCAATAAAAAGTCAGTTTTCATTTTATGTTATCTTTAGGTAGTTTGCAAAGAGTCTCTGGTCGCATCTACTAAACGAGTCTACCAAATCACAATAAACAGGAACAGAGGTTGTAAAGACAGGCAGGGTTTATTCTACTCAGGGAGTTTGGTTTAATCCTAGAGTGTGTTATGCCATAAATGTAAAGTCATCAAAGTGGGGGGGGGGAGGAATTCAGATTTTGAAGGATCAAGCAAGGCAGAAAGAGGAAAGGGGAAAATTCCTTACTAAGTGTTGGAGGTAGTAATACTCAAATTCTGCTGCTACCATAATTCTCTCACATCCGCGTATCATTTTATATTTTTCAAAATGCTCTCTTCATCCAGCAATATAAGGGCATTGAAGTCAGCATTAAGTGACAATTTTACCAAATATATATTTTCAAATGGTATTTACAAATGACCAACTCAAAGGAGACTCAGTTACAGTAGTTTTGGACAACTAGCCCAACCCACATATCTAATTTTTGGATTAGAAGAATCTTACACTGCTCTTTCTTCTTGGTTAGAAAATAAGAACAATGGTATTTAAATATATACCTTTGTTCTCTCCAACTGAACATTCTCTTTTTACCTCTGTTTTTCCTTTGAGAATAAACTTTAATTTACCTGTATTTCCCTGAATAGAGAGGAGGTCATTGGTGACACCCCTCATCGCTTCGAGTGTGGAGTGGGTGATGTCATACGTTGGAAGGATAACATCCTGTGAATCCAAGGAGCCGCACCATGAAATGATAGGTAAAGGGCCAGGGGTTTCATTGACTTTTCGATGCTCCAGAGGCCAGTCTCCAAGATTAATATAAAATTCTATATCGGGGAGAAGGACCTAAATAAACAAAAGAAGAAGTATTAGTGCTGGGAAGACCTCAGTTTTAGGTACTAAATGCTTCCATTCCTTGGCTTCTTAAAATATGCCTGATAAAAGTGAACATGTGAAAACAGCAGAAGAGAGAAGAATGCCTCTCAGTCATCAGCAGTATCAGAAAATCAAGGGTGAGGACGGTACATGGCAAATTCACTTAACCAGGAGGAAGTGCCCTTTGTTCAGAGGTGGCATTTAAAATTGCTTAGTATTGGGGCACCTGGGTGGCTCAGTAGGTTAAGTGTCTGCCTTTAGCTCAGGTCATGATCCCAGGGTCCTGGCATCAAGCCCCAAATTGGGCTCCCTGCTCAGTGGGGAGTCTGCTTCTCCCTCTGCCCCTCCCCCTGCTTGTTCCCTCTCTCTCTCATTCTCTCTGTCAAACAAATAAAATCTTTTAAAAAAAATTGCTTAGTATTGGGGTGCTCAGCTGGCTCCATTGGTGGAGCATCCAACTCTTGATGATGGGGTCATGAGTTCGAGCACCATGTTGGGCACAGAGATTACTTAATGAAAATTTTTTTTAATTATCAAAATTGCTTATTATTATAGAAGTGGACATGGTATGGAAAGGTACGAGTAAGTGGCTTCAGGAACCCTTTCTGTCAGCTGCCTGAGAATCGACAAGGTTAGAGCCAAGCACTTCTTTTCCTTCACTATCAAACCTCCGCATCATGTCTACCTTTGCTTCTGGATTCTGCCACTCCGTGTGCATCTCCATGGTCAGTGCCTTACATGAGGCCCTTCTCTCATTTCTCGCCTGGATTGTTGCAGGAGCTTGCTCACTAGGTGTTCTGATACTAGGCTCTCCCCACTCTGATCTGCTTTCACCTTGCTGCCCAAATTCCTTTTTTTTTTAAAAAAAGAATTTATTTATTTATTTGACAGCGAGAGAGGGAACACAAGGAGGGGGAGTGGCAGAGGGAGAAGCAGGTTTCCCGCTGAGCAGGGAGCCCGATATGGGACTCGATCCCAGGACCCTGGGATTATGACCTGAGCCGAAGGCAGACACCTAACGACTGAGCCACCCAGGTGCCCCTTGCTGCCCAAATTCCTAAAACCCAACTTAATGTCACCACCAAGGTCAACGAAACCTAAAGCCTGCAGGACAAGGTCTAAAGTCCCTGGCCAGAAAGCAAGGCCCTGTTACCATGTTCCACCGGAGCGTGGGCTGGTAAACTTTAGGCTACTCTCTGAAAATGTGACCCACTCTCCCAGGTACTTCCCTTCTCACTTGGAATATTCTTCTCCTACTTATTCACTTGGCAGTCTTCTTTCTCGTCCTTCGAACCCAGACCGAATGTCACCTCCTCAATGGCTCGCCCTCCTCAGGCAGTTTCACCTGGGGGGCCTGCTTTTCTTACAGGCCTATCACGTTGAGGTGTGACTATTTGTATTCACATCCTACTCTAACTTCCAAATAACAAAAAACAAGTCCCAGTAAAGTAGGCTGCTCAAAGTCCAGAGATGAGTCTCATTTATTTTGGATTTCTTCCAAGAAAGAAGAGGGAAGGCCAAGGGCTGTGACAATTCACCCTCCTCGCTTCCCTACTCTCATTTATCAGCTCGTTAATAAACCACACCAGGAGTTCTCACTATAGAACAGGGTTTCTCAATCTCAGTAGGATCAACATTTGGGTCTGGGTAATTCCCTGCTGTGGGGGCTGTTTTGTGCACTGTAGGATGTTTACTAGCATCCATGGCCTCCACAGACCGGGTGCTAGGAGCAACCCCGAGTTGTGACAACCAAAACTGTCTCTAGACATCACCCAACATCCTCTAAGGGACAAATTCGTCTGCCATCGTGAGTACAAGGTGGAAATACAGGGCAGTAGGCCAGGAAGAAAGCCCCTCCTTTATGATCAAGTATCTTTAATATGCTCATATAGTGTGCTAGTGAGGATGGTGCGCGGGGGGGGGCTGCTACTTAAGAATTAAAAAATAATAATAATAAAATAAAATAAGAATTGATTGCAACCCCACATTCAGCACACTTGGGAAATTGTATACCTCGTATCACCGAAGTTGACTTTTGGTTTAGAAAACTACCTTGACAGTCTTTCTGGGTGGGAAAGGCAGAAAATGCTTATCCTTACCCTTCACTCTGCATGGTCAGGAAGGAGGAAGAACAAAAGGCAATTTGAGCTGCTCTGCTTAAGAGTGCAGTAAATGTGGAAAGAAGGGTTCAGTAGAGGGTTGGGGGTGGGGGAAATTGAGAAGTCTTCTGAGAGATAGAGGCCCAGCTGTATTCACTAAGAAGCCAAGACCTGAAGGCCAATGACGGGCAGTGCGTAATTCCCAGAGGCAAGGATGACTGAGTCTGATTAATACAGGGATGTTTATTTTTAAATGTTAGGGTTTTTGTTGGACTGCTTTTTACTATGCAATGGTACAAAAATAACCTCTCTGTTACTAGAACATTCAACAAAATGTGCCATGCATGCTATCTTTTGAGGCGCTTAGGGTAAAACAAGGAAAAAGTGGTCAAAGTTCAAGTCATTTTGAGGTGGTAAGAACAAAACAGCTGCGGAAACTGGTATCTGAATGGGAGGAGTATTCACCACAACAGAGAATTTCAAGAAGTGACCTTGAGGGGCACCTGAGTGGCTCAGTCGGTTAAGCATCCGACTCTTGATTTCTGCTCAGATTGTGATCTCAGCGTTGTGAGAATGAGCCTTGCATCAGGAATCCACACTCAGTAGGGAGCCTGCTTGAAGATTCTCTCTCTCCCTCTCCCCCTCCCACCACTCTGTGTGTCTCTCTCTCCCAAATAAATACATAAATCTCAAAAAAAAAAAAAGTGACCTTGAGGCTCAACATGTCTGGGAGTCCACAGAAACCTTGGAAGTGCTCCGTAGGACCTACTTGCCTGAGATGGGGACTCAAGCCACTTAATTTACAGGAAAGAAAGATCCATAAAGGGGGGAGAATTTGTGAACACTCAGGTGGTGGACATCTTAAATTCACATTTCCAAGCTTGGAATCCATTTCCATCCTTTGCCACTGTTCTAAGCATCTCAAAGTTACAATGAAATAAGTAAACTCCAGTTCACCCTTGAACAATGTAGGGGTTAGAGGTGCCGACACCCGCACAGTCTAAAATTTGTGTATAAATCTTGAATCCCCCAAAACTTAACAACTAGTAGCCTACTATTGACCAATAACATAACAGTTGATTAACACATCTTTTGTATGTTATGCATATTATATACTGTGTTCTCACTATAAAATCACCTAGAGAAAAGAAACTGTTAATTAAGAAAATCATAAGGAGCGCCTGGGTGGCTCAGTCGTTAAGCGGCTGTCTTCGGCTCAGGTCATGATCCCAGGGTCCTGGGATCGAGCCCCACATTGGGCTCCCTGCTCGGCGGGAAGCCTGCTTCTCCATCTCCCGCTCCCCCTGCTTGTGTTCCCTCTCTCGCCATCTCTCTCTCTGTCAAATAAATAAATAAAATCTTAAAAAAAAAAAAAATCATAAGGAAGAGAAATACTATTTACAGTACTGTCATGTATTTATAAAAAAATGTCCATGTATAAGTGCACTCATGCAATTCAAACCCATGTCATTTAAGGGTCAACTCTGTATTGTTTTCAGAACCAGCGAATTTATTCTTATACCTTTCTTGCCAGTGACAGCAAAATCTCGTCCGAGAACATTTTGAAGTCTGTGTATTTCCCTAAAGATCTCCGGTAGACACGGTTATTGAGAATCGTGTAGTGAACAATGGCACCCCTCTCATCCCCAAACCTTTCTGGAACCTCATTTAGCATCTGCTGGAGATTGATGCTGGGGAAGGAAGCGAAATCCTTTGCAATCTGTGGTTCCCTGGTTGGACAAGAAAGAGTTTTCTGCCAGGCCTGAGGATCCTCTTCAGGACACTCACAGTACTCATGGTACACTGGTCCTAGGGAAGACAAAGACATGAGTAAGGCCATACTCCATTAACAAACACCTCCACACAGGGGGTTGTTTCTGCCCCTGATAGGAACATGGGATGACTTCTTGCTGAATTCGAAGATTCTCCAGACAGGGATAATATATATTTATATTATATACTTAATATTTAATATAATTATAATATATAAATTAATATATAATAACTATATTAAATATAATAATATAATATATTAAATATAAATATGTTTAATATTTAATAAATACATTTAAATATATTTAACTTAAAATAAAGTATAAAGATTAACATAATTTTATAAAAACTTTAAAAAATTATTTATGTTTCTTGAGGATTTCTACTTCAGACCAAGATGAGTAATATGGACCAATTTACCATTCTACCTGAAACTACCAAAAAAAGAGACAAAATATATGAAATAGTTTTTAAGCCACCAGACATGAGGCAGTGAAGGACAGTGAGTCTGAGAGATGGGAAATAGATGAGATGAGCCCTACAGTTTATAAACTTACTGCCTAAGGGGGTTTCCAGGTTATGGAAACAGGGAGAAATGTAGGCAGAGCCCAGCAGTCTCACTGAGTTGAGGGGACAGAGCTGGGTGTCCAGGGAGAACAAGGCAGCTGGTATTTGTAGGACACATTCCCTGAAAGGAGAGAACCACACAGCCAGAAAACTCCAGAGATCTGCAAAAGGTTCCCCTTCAAGTATTTAGGGTTTCTGAGGAGTGTATATAGGCGAGGAAATTATCCAAGACAGGGAAAGAACATCCAGAATGATCGGATGCAACAATACCCACTGGTCATACAGGGTTGGGAATAGTACCTGTTCACAGCAGGCCGACTGGGAAGCATCCTAATTGCTGGGCCTTAGGGTAGAGTAGGCAGAGAGGTATTGCCTGAGTGGTGGGGAATAATTAGCCCTAGACTAAACATGGTTCTGGTCTTGCCTAATGAATTGTAAAAGCAATTTGAAAGGTTCAAATTATTTCCAAGTAATTTCACTGCATTCCAGAAAAACGATCAAGAAGATGAGAGAGCAACAAGAGATGAAAAATACACTGGATACAATTAATGGCAAGTTGGACACTGCAGAAGGAAAGATTAGGGAACTTAATGATGCAGCAATAGAAAGTATACAAAATGAAATGGACAAAAAAAAGAATTTTAAAAATGAAAAGAGCATCACTGAGCTGTGGGATAATTTCAAGCCTGATATAGGGGTAACTGGAATTGTGGGAGGAACTCTGCAGTAGAACAGAAAAAAATACTGAAGAAATAACGGCCAAAATTTTTCTGGATTTAACGAAAACTATAATCCCAAAGATCTAAGAAGCTCCAAGAACCCAAGCACAAGAAACATGAAGGAAATTACACCAAAGCACGTAATAATCGAATTGTTCAAGAGACTTAAAGAGAAAACCTTGAGCAGTATAGAGGAACAGCAGATATGCTGGATGTCAGCAGATACACTGTTGCAAAAAATGCAAGTAAGAGGACAGTGGAGTAACATCTTTAAAGTACTAAAAGGAGACAAAACCAACCCTGTTAATCTACAATTCTATATTTCGTAAAAATGTCTTTCAAAAATGAAGGCAAAATAAAGACTCTTCCAGACATTCAAAAGCTGTGAGAACTCATCACCAGCATTCTCACACTAAAAGAAACGATAATGGGGATCGTTGAGCAGAAGGTAAATGGTACTAGAAGGAAATGTAGATCTATATAAAAGAATGAAGAGTGCCAGACATGTTAACTACCTGGGTAGATACACAAGATTTTCTTGCTTATTGTTCAAATTTCTTTAGTTTTTTTCCCTGCAAAATTCCAAGTTAAATTGAGCTCCAGGAGGAGTGCCTGGCTGGCTTGGTCAGTAGAGCACGTGACTCTTGATCTTGGGGTAGCGAGATTGAGCCCCATGTTAGGTGCAGAATTATTTACAATTGAACTCCAAAAGGTACACATACCATGTTCACTCTTTTGTACATGACTTCAAGGTCATCATAAGCCATTGTGAAAGTCATGGGGTCTACACATATAAGGCTGGCTCTGGATTGTGTAATATAATCACTTACCTTTCAAAATATAAGGAGACTGAGCCACATGTTCATCACCATAAAGGACCTCTATCTTTAGCCCTTCGTTGACAGTTTCATACATCCTATATCGCATCAAAAATGTCCCATCATTCCTGTCCAAAGGTTTGGGGACGTGAATCCGGACTAATTCTTTAGGTGAAAGAGATTTGATTACTACTTTGAATAGTGTTTGACCTGAAAAAAAAAAAATATATATATATGTAACTACTATTTCATGGTTATTTTGTCTTACCAATTATTGGATAGGTGTCTCTACACCAAAGTTACTTTTTTCTCTACCATCAAAATAATAACAAAATAATTTTAGTTTGGAAGGTCCTTGAGACCAAGAACCATGTCTGGGTTGTGTCTTGAAACCAAAGATCTGAGTCAACATTTGATTCATTAGTCATTCAATAAAGATATACTGAATGAAAAAAATCAGTACTTTAAAAAAGCAAGGAAGAGATGAACTTTTTGCCTCTTTGCTCTTTTCTCCTTTGGGTAGGTTTAAAGCAGCCCAGATACTTAAAAATCCAAAAACTCTTAGAATGACAGAGCTCCAAGACAATCCAACTTTCTTCTGTAAAATATATACCAGCTTTCTTTGTAAACCATTTTAATACCTAATAACCCTCATTTCTAAGGAAATTTTCCTTTGGTTAACCCAAATTTCCAGTTATACTTCTAAGTCTATTTCCCTAAGTAGAGAAAGATTATAGCTAGTTACTAGACTGCACAAATATCAGACACACACACACACACACACACTTTCACACACCTTTGTAAATACTAGAGTTTACTTCTCTAAGCTTATTTCCTCAGGTTGAATTGAAAGTTATACTAGGACGATCTAACATCATTTTCAACTCTAAAATTCTGTGGGTTTTCTGGAAATTCTAGGTAAGTAATACCCACTTAGTAAACTTTCCCTTCTATTTTTGTAGTATATGAGCTGACTGATTTAGGCTTTGAAACAATACTGTTGTGATTAATATCATTGTGATCCAGAAATGAATGTTGCGATATCTTTCTTCCCAGAGTCCAGTGGATGTATCTGCACTCAGCACAGATCTGATCCTCAGGAGCTTTGAGAATAAAGATCAGTTAATGTCCTAACCACAGTTAATCACTATATCAAAGGCAAATGTTTTTTAAAAAGTGGTGAATCCTCTGAAATTCACAGACCTGGCAAAAAATAGTGGTGATAAAAGTAGTTTTTCATTTCACATCTATCATATTATCAAATTAAGCATATTTAATATATATTTTTTGAAATTACTGAAAAAATTTCTTTCTCCTACTCTTAGTTTCTAAATCTTGTGAGTGAAGTTTCTACTCTCTTTTGATCTTCAAGGGTTTTATTTTTTTCTTGTGGGTCAGGAGAGGTGTTCTTCGGTCTCTTCAATTTCATAATCATAATGTAGTGTCTGACAACTTGCTGTTAAATAATGCATTTTGACATCCTTTAAACAAGTGTGATAAAATTATGAAAGAAATCTGCTAAAATAAATGAATTGTAATAAACATAGGGGATGTTGTAAGAAAAAAGGTAATAATTTAATATGAAATTATTTAAAATGTTAGCAGTTTACCTGAAATGCTTAAATGAAATACACTGGTCATTGCCTTGTGTTATTTCTCACTTGATTTTAGAAAGACAGCACAGTGTGGCAGACTGCAAATCAGGCAGGCAGAGCCTGGGGACCAGGAAGCAATTCCTATAATTTTCTCCCCAAAGTTGAACCAGTACAGAAAAGTTCTAGTGTCTTGGTCAAATAGTCCTGTTCTCCATAAACTTATGATTGTAAATAAACAAACAGATATAAGACAAACATATGAATGATTCTGTGATCATTTTGGAAAGAAATGGATTTGCAGGAAAAAACTAGTTCCAAAATGTTTCATTATTTTTAAATTCAAAGTATTGGACTAGATCTGTATTGTCTCTTCCAGTTATAAATTTTTTTGTCCCTGAAATAGCATTTAAGAGCTACATTTCAAAATAAATGTATAAAACTAAAATAGAGCCATTGGAAATACATATTTTAAATGTTCAGGTGTTTTTATAGGAATCTTTCATGGCTGTGTCATTGTTGGCATGAAATTAATGTTAGAATCAACACAAAATAACAACGGTCAGGACTGAAAATAGAAAGAAGCAATTTTAACCCCATAAAAGAGAAAATGAGAAGAGTGCAATTTGAAATTGCTTCAAATGGAAGGAATGTGAATTCTCATTTGCCCCAAGGGCTAACATAATGGAACAGACTTGAAGCTCAGCTTGAATTTTTCTACTTCATCGATTCAAATCTCTTTGGGAGAGACAGCTAATGGAATGAGAATGTAGGGACTAGGTAGATGAAGGAGTTAGCAGTATCAAAGTCTTACACCATTAGAATCAGAACTTTTGAAGACTTTAGCACTTATCACGGGCCAGTCTCTGAGCTTGAGATTTTCATTTGCATTTTCTACCTTATTTGTTTCCTACAAGAATTTGTAACGTGGGCATTGTCACCCGCATTTTACAGATCAGGAAACCAAGTCTCCAAGAAGTGAAGTAGCTTGCCCAAGTTCACCTATATATGAGTAGCAGAGCCAATATTTGAATACAGCTTGAATCCTTCTTTCAAAGCCCATCCTGCATCCACCTTGTCATGCTGTGTCACGTTAGTGTATTGGTTTGCAGAATTCAGAGTTGGAGGAATAACCTCTGGCACCCTTGGAACAACAGAGTCACTGTCTTTCCTGTTGTTTAGGAAGATTATTAAGGCTCTGCAATCGTAACAAGCGTCAACCCCACATGGCCAAGGAAACCGAGTCCCAGAAGGCCACGCTGTTTTGCCTTGAGGCTACATGTCACTCTCCAAAAATGCTTTGCGGCCCTGCTGACCATGGATGGATGCTCTCTAGGAACTTACTGAAAACTGATGCACGACAATCATATGACGGGAGATTTAATTAAACGGAAAGAGGATGAGTGTCTACTCTTGGCTCTGACACTTAACGGCTGTGGGGCCACAGGCAAAACATTTCAGCTTCACTGAGCCTCAGTGTCTTAGGTGTAAAGTGAAGAGTATAATATCTAGCCTTCTTACTTCACAAGACGATTAAGGACGACAAGTTAAACAGGGCACAGTTTAAAACACTAAAGTGCTACCAAGTAGGAGGTACGACTATTTTATGAAGATATCACTACTGATGAAGGTAAAGGAGGACTGAATAGAAAATGAGTATTAGTATCCAGCCATCTCAACAGATTCCAACCACCCTCCCTCTACGCCTTCTTTTCTTTTCTCTATGGTATTTATAGAGCATCTCTGCCGGGCATTATGTCACATGCTGGGATATAACAATATCAATAGGTTTTGCCTACATTCATAATAGAAGGAAATATCCAGTTTAAGTCAGAAGGGAGTAAAAACAAAGATAGAGATAGCTTCTTTCCCCTATATCCAAGGTCACAGACTGCCCACTTTCTGTCTTTGGACTCCAGTTTGAGATCCTTTGCTTTAGAACTTTCAAGGTCACACGTTTGCAATCCAGGTACCTGGAGATGCACAGCATAATAATGATATTCAGATAAATGTGACAGTTAAATGGGAGTGATAATTATTAAGAGAATCTTGGTAAGTTGTGTAAGAAGCTCTTTGTCTTGAGAAAAAAATGCCCCCCCCCTTTTTTCATTTAGTTCTTGGAGAAGGAAAAATTTCAGGACTTGCAAGTGAATGATGGTGGCAGAAGGTGTAAAAACCTGGTTGTGTGATCTTTTCAAAACTCCAGGGCAGCCTTTTAATGGAAGCCAAAAATCCAGTGGCATGAGAGGAAATAGGGAGAATCTAAGGGTATGAAATTGAGGTTGTCTGAAAAGACTTGCTGAAAGTCTTTTTGTTTTTTATGACTTTTTTTTCCTGATCATAAAAACATTAAGATTATTTTGGGGGAAATTTTTCTTGGGAAAAAGGAGAGTGAAAAAAATCCTTATTTTCTTGCTATAACTACTGACAACACTAATGAGAGTTAAGGTTCGTCTATTTATTATAAAATTAAAATGAAACTATATAATTTTTCCTTTTTAGTCCATCCATAACCTAGTATAAGCATTATTAAATAACTTTCAAATCTTACTTTAGAATTAAAACAAATTCTGGTTAAAACATGTAAAATTGATCATCTTAACCATTTTTAACTGTACAGTTTAGTAGTGTTAAGTAAATTCAGATTTGGGGGCAACAAATCTCTAGATTCAACAACTTTTCATTTCCCTCCTCCATCAGCCCCTGGCAACCACCATTCCACTTCGTTTCTGTGAATTTAACTACTTTAGATATGTCATATAAGTGGAATCTAAAATGTTAACTTTTAATGGGCTGTCAAATATGCTATCACATGAATGTACCACACTTTATTTAGCAATTACCTCAGAGGTGGCTGGTTAAATTTGCTGTAATAAATAACGACAATGTGGCAAGAATTTCTTGCACAGAAATCTTTGACCACGTTCTGATCATTTTCTCAGGTTAGATACCTAGAAATCAGATTACCAGAAATAAAGGGCACGGACATTGCTGTTGAAACGTATTTTTTGCATATTAGGTTTGTAAATATTTAAGACTCTTGGTACATTTGGAAAACAGCTTTCCAGTAACATTTTAGCAATTTGTGCTCCCGCCAGCAGAGGATGAAGGTCACTGGGGAGAGGATCTCCATGCCCTCTTGACAGCTTTGAGTACTGCCACTTAAAAAAAAACTTTGCCGATATTTTTTGATTAAGGAACAGAATTTTATTTGAATGTCTAGCTCTTTCATTAATAGTAAGATTAGCAGCATGTCACTCTGGATCATGTAACTTTCTTTTTTCCGGTATAAATTAATTTTTCCTTCGTTCTCCCTTTTCTTTCTAAATCTTCCCCCCCCCATTATAACATCATAAAATGACTTTTAGGAAAGCAAGAAAACTATAAAGGAGAAAATACACCCCATAGTGGAAGACTTCGAACCTGGGTTTAAGTATTTTTTTTTTATTCTGGTCCTTAGGGCCATGGAAAGTCTTTCTAAAACTAAAAGAAGTTTAGTCATAGCTTCCCGCGGGCAGTGGAAAAGGCGCTGGGGTATTCTGATTGTCTCTTTGTTGATAAAACAGGGTGCCAGGTGGCTGGACACAAATGAGACAGAGATGAGCAAATCCTGACTGGCAACAACTTGAACCTAGCAGGACAAGTTGCAAGAAGTTGCAGAGGCAAGGCGAGCAGGAGACCGTGGGAGGGCGCTGAGACAGAAGGGATTCGAGGACAGGCCCCACCCTTGGGAGGCAGAACAGCTGAGCGCTACAGGGCCTCACTCATTCTCTGAGAACTCCAAGGCCACAAGCTAGCACGCAAAAGCGCTTCCTTTGTGCCCCCAGCTCTGCTGGCTGTTTCAAACCCACCAGGCCTCCACCGAGTGATCCGACGCGACTCCTGGGGCTTGATGACTCAGCTCGCGGGGGAACTCCCTGCGTGCTGGACCAGCGCGGGAACACGGTCTCCAGCCCCGTGAGTCACGCGGCCTTCATCAACACCCCGGGCGCCGGCGCCGCACCTGAACCGCGGAGCGCCCCGCGGAGTTCGTTCGTTCGTTCATTCCTTCCTTCCTTCCTTCATTCAACAGACTTCTGCAGCGACGCCCGCCCCCCGCCCGCCGTGTCCGGGGAGGCGGGGGCAGGGGAGGTGGCCAGAGCCGAGGCAGGGCGACACTCGCCCGGGGAGGGACGCCACGCAGGCGGCGGGCGGACACCCGAGGGGCGCGGGCGCGGCGAGGACCGGGGCGCGCGGGGGGGGGATGGGGGGTGACCCAGAGGCCCGCGGCTCAACGCTACCTGGGGGCGAGCGAGTGAGGTTTTGGCCCTCCGAGTTCACGGCCTGCAGGTAGAAATAGCGGACGGGCAGCACGACGCCCGCCCGCAGCCCGGGCCCCCACACCAGGCTCCGCGGCGCGCTCACCGGCGCTTCGGGGGCCCCGGCGGCCACGAGCAGGGCGAGCGGCAGCGGCAGCAGCGCGGCCCGCGGGAGGCGGCGCATGGTCGCCGAGCCCGGGGTCCAGCTCAGCGGCGGCGGCGGGGAGGAGCCGGGCTCCGGGGGCGGGCCCGTGCTCGGCCGCCCGCCGCCCCGCCGCCGCTCTCTCCGGGCCCCAGCGCCTTGCGCCCTGCCGGGGGCCGGCGAAGAGCGCGTCCGGTCCCGGGGACCCCGCGAAGGGGGTCCGCTCGGTGAGGCCGAGCGCCCTCGGCCGCCGAGACCTGGTCTCGCCCGGTCCGCACCTCCGGTTGCCGGAGCTTGTCAACTGTGTGGAGGAAACCGCTTTGAAAGGGCACCAACACGGTGGTGATGGCCGTGGGGCGAGCGAAAGGGCCCCGCAGCGAAGAACGTCCAAGTCCTTTAGGGAAATGCCTTTAGCCCAGGAGCTTCCCTGGGTTGACATGGTGCAGGGCAAATGTCACGCCACCTCTGACAGGTGTGTTCACACCAGCACCAACCTAATCCTGCGATCCTCTGTTCTGAGATTCCCTCCCTTCTCCCTAATCTCCTTCCCCTACAGTTTGCTTTTCTCAACACGTGTTTTCTGAACATCCACTAGGTTAGGGACAAAACCCAAGGGAGCAGTTAGGCACTGGGGTATCAGAATTCAGGGTGGACGAAGGACTTGCCTTGAGCCTGGTGGGTGAACTTCACCTCTGTCAGGTGGCTCCTCTCTGTAATTAATGAGGTGTGACTGGTCTTGGTCACTCCTCAGAAGCCGGAGGTAGGGTCCAGGAAGAGACCGGCAGGAGCCCTCAGCACTGGCAGCCACTGTCTGCCTTTTCCCCCCTGACCTCTTGATCCACATTTGTTAAGTATTTTCGCTTCTTTTATTTGCTTATGGTTCGAATCTGTTCAAAGAAAATAAGCATTCCGCTCAGGCTGGGGAGCCAGGGGGAACCCAAAGTGCAGAATGGATAGAGGGATTCTGCACCCTCTTGACAGAGCTCAATCCAGAAATGCCAGAATCAGGCACCCCCTGTTCATCTCCAGCCTTTAATTGGGTTACTCAGCCTTCTTGCTATGACCACCTTTTACTAGGGCAAAATCCTTCCCAGTTCTCTTGACCTAGTTTAGTAATACTGAGCAGAGGTTGTAGACAGTGTTCTTTGTATTTTGGAAAGATTTTCAGAAACTGGTAGTAAATCACTGGGAAATTGTAGGGCTAAAGTATAGCATTACTTTCATTGATAAGTTTTAATTTGTGGGGTTGTCTGCATGCTTTAAATAGAAAGCATTGCTGTGTTCTAGCTATCACTTTGAAAAATTGTGTAGAACACATTTTATTCACATTCTTCCAAAATCAAACTTAAAAAATTTCTGAGAGAAATAATCTGAAGGTTAGCTGGTACAGGACGATAGTAAAATATGACCTAATATATTACATCATACTTGCGGTAACCCCCAGTATTTTTTGAGAACATATCAAAGAAGCCATATAATTGAATCTGAACCCTTGTTTAGCAATACTGAGTCTGTACCAACCTGTTTTCTTTCACATTGCCATCCATATCTTTAAAATCATATCTCTTCAGATCAACCAATGCCTTGACTCGATTCTTTATCATAAATCACATTTCCAAATACATATTCAATGCCTACTATGTTTTAGACATTATACTTGGACTTTAAAACTCCTTTGGTTAAGTGGAGAAGAAAGACAAAGAGGCAGTGTGGTGGGTGCTAAAATATGGGAGTGGAGAACTCTGCAGATCTGGGATTTTAGCCTCTTACAAGCTAACAGGTTAGCCTGTTTCGTGGACGCTGTCGAAAGACACAAAACTCCTGGATCAGAGACAAAGGACTTTGTTATTCATTGTCAGAGTTTCATGTTGGTTTGTGTTCGATCCCCATGTCCCCTGTTATGGGCAGAATTGTGTTTCTTCGTAATTCATACGTTGAAGCACTAAGGTCCATGACCTCAGAATGTGTATTTGGAGATAGGGCCTTTAAAGAGATGATTAAGTGAAAGTAGACTGTTAGGATGAGCCTCGATCCAATCTAACTGGTGTCCTTACAAGAAGAGGAAATTAGTGCACACAGAGAGACACCAGGAATGCTTGGGCACAGAATGAAGACCACTGGATGGCACAATAAGAAGGCACTCATCTGCAATCCAAGGGAGAGGCCTCAGGAGAAACCAAACCTGTCGACATCTTGATCTGGGACTTCTAGCCTCCAGAACTGTGAGAGAATAAACTCTGCTGTTTAAGCCCCCCAGTCTGTAGTAGTTTGTATTGGCGATCCCAGCAGACATATATAGCCCCCAAGTCTGGTGGGGACAATGCAAAAGACCTTCATGGATGTGTGAGGTGGGTTGCATTATAAGACAAACACACCGAATTCAGGGGATTACTGATTTCACAGCAAGGGGAATTAATCCTGCTCTTGGCCAGTGGGGAGATATTATCTCACCCTTCAAGGTTGCTTGCTGTAAATACAGGCCTAAGAAATGTCATGTGGGGGCCCCTGGCTGGCTCCGTCAGTGGAGCGTGGGACTCTTGATCTCGGGGTTGTAAATTCAAGCCCCATGTTGGGTGTAGAGATTAGTTAATAAAATCTTTAATTAAAAAAAGAGAAAGAAATGGCATGTGTAAAGAGTGGTCAAGGACTTACATTCTTGGCAAGCCCAGCAAAGATGTTCAAGACCCATGGCAGATTGCTTCTCCCAATATAAGTATGCTTCTCTCTCCCTCCCCTGTTGAAAATACCAACCAACCCCCACCTAGCCACAAGCAGCAACTCACATAGTAGCCTTGAATGTGTCCCTCTAGATGTACACATGCATATGCAGGGTTTGTTTGTTTGATTAATGCTTTATAAAAAATGAGATTTTGCTTTCCTCACTCAATAGTACTTCATGCAAATTCTCCTAAGTCAACTTACATAGTTCTACTTTATTCTTTTTAATGGTTGCATAATATCCCATATGTGGATGTTCCATCATATATCCAGTCCTTTCTAATCAAGCGCTCACTTTGTTTTTGCCACAACAAACATGGTAGCAATAAAAATTCTTACCTGTAAGTCTGTATATACTAGTGCTCTTATTTCCATTGGAGTGATTTCTGGGGCAAATGAATACGGTGATTCGGCGTATTGGTTCTGAATCCCTACCTTCCTGGTCGTAACAGAGACAATGGGTCCCCTGATAAGTCCAATTTTCTGGCATTGTTTGAGAAATTGGCGCTGGAATTTCAACTTAGTATCTATTTTGTGAGCCCTATCAATGCATTTGTGAGCAAACTGTACACGCTTTAATAAGTGTTTTTTACCTGAGCCACCTAAAGAGGATTATATTTAGTCTACAACTAAAAACCCTGGCTGATCCAATGTATTTTAAATTATGATAAAATACTGCACATATTCAATATGACAACAGTCTCCTGTCCTTGGTAGAGACACAGCCTTTGGGTTGCTTTCCTAGAAAAGATATAAGATTGGTATGAATCAATTAATTAATATTGCATGTCTTATATTTCAACTGGAAAGAATGGTATATCTTTCATCGGTGTTACTGGGCAATGGCTAACCCAACTCCATGTAGCTCCTTCTTCCTCTACACAGAGAAATGCCAGACCTTCTTCATTCCTCCTCTGTGTTGCAACCAGATAGACTGATCTTCATGTATCAGTTGATTGCTTTTGGGTACAAATGAAAGAAGAGAGAAGCAAGTCACTGTGTTTTTTTGAAACTAAATATGGCTGATCTCATTCAATAACAACCAGAGAAATTTGTAGGAATGCTTTTGGCCCCCCTTTCCCCCACCACCTTTTTAGAATTTTTCCTGAAACTTTTCCCCTTAAAAATAATCATTTGAGGATGGGAATAAAAACCAGGTCAAACGGTGCATCTATTTAAATCATTTATTTCAACACAGGCATTGTTTTAAATTTGCACCTTGTCTTGTAACACTTTTCATATCTAGAGGACAGGATTGAGAACAAGTTCATAAAAGGATTATTTGACAATATTTTAACAAAAGTGCTTTAGTCTTACTTGTTCCAGAACACAGGTGTGCCAGTCACAAAGAGCCCCTAAGTGGTAATGCATTCACAAACTTGCTGGGAACGTGAGATATTTACATATTTATGCTGTACATTTAAATAGGATATTCTAAAGTGTTATCACCACTGTTAACAATAAACTCTTACCGATAAGGCCTCTTTAACCTTCTGGCATTCCACAGAGTATAGTGCTTTTATGGAGGTGGGAGTTTTTCAATTTTATTCCCGTCTTCACCATAACCTAAGTGGACTTTCTTTCATTATTTCTAGTACAGACATACATTTACCTTCTACACAAAATTGTTTTTATTCACTTTTCATCAGTGAAAACCTTGTTAGTAGCAGTTGGAAGTTTTATTAACATCCATATATTTACAAATGTAAGGGGGTAAATTATTTAGAAGGAGGTCTCTAAAAATGAAAATAATCTCATTAAGCACTCCCTCCTTTTTAAAGTAGACTCCACTTTAAAAAAGTGTGGAGCCCAATGTGGGGCTTAGGACTCTCTACCCTGAGATCATGACCTGAGCTGAGATCAAAAGTCGGTCGCCTAACCGACTGAGCCACCAAGGCGCCCAAGCTCTATTTTAAATAAACTGTACACTGTGATATTGAAGTCTATTATCTAAACAAGTTAATAATTTAAACGTATTTATTAGAATGGATTCCGTCATGATTTACTCCATTTATGTGACTATTTATTTTAATAATGATTATATCCTTTAGAACACAAGTGAGGGGTATAAAAATGACTATTATAAGTTAGTATAGCTGTACCAAAAATGAGTCTTAAAAAGCAGCAGTTTGTATGTTAAAATACGTAGAAATTTGCTGTACTTCTTTAACGAAGTATTTTATAAAAGTATAAAACTATAGAAGGGGATTTTTTTTTTTTTTTTAAGATTTACTTATTCATTTGAGAGAGAGAGAGAGAGAGCAAGGGGAGGGGCTGAGGGAGAGAGAGAATCCTCAAGCAGACCCTCCGCTAAGTGCAGAGCG